AACAGGGTTCAGCAGTGGATGGGATGGCATTGTCATTTGGTCAGACACAAAATGATAAAGAAGTGATGTCAGTGGTGACAGTACCAACTGTTGATGTACCCGGTTCTGTAATAGACCAACTCAATAATGAAGTAGGATGAGCACCTAGTAACCTTGATGGTAACGATGAGGAAATGGTCGATTTCTTGGATGAGGTGTGTAAGAAAAGCATTAGCAATGAGATTAGAAAGAGGAGGTGGGAAAAGAAACAGAGAGATCAAGAGGCACTTTTAATTTCTCAGGATGTGACTAAAATTCCTGAAGTCACAGACATGTTAACTTCAGAGCAAGACGAGCAAGGCTTGTCATAATCTTATGAGGCTAGTTCTGAGAGCATAAGTTCAGCATATTGCATCTTACCAAAGCAACCGCAAGTTAATGCATCCAAATTAGCATATAATCTTGAAAACTGTGAAGATTCTTCACAATTGGAGTCATGTGGCATAGAGGAACTTAAATCCAATCAGCATGATGAAGTTATTACCAATTTGGATAAAAATATAATTGTGGAACAGGAATTAAAGCAACAGTTATCGTCACCTGCACATACATCTAGATCAGATCAAACTTCAGAAGAACAGGATCCATCTTTAGATACCACACAAAATATAGTTTGCATGTTCAAGAAAGCTAATAAACTTGGTCAAGAAGCAATTTATACTGGTGCTACTTTATAGAAAAATATGACAAAAGGATCAATAGCTTTGTTGCTGGTGGAGTTAAGAAAAAAACTGCAACATCTATGGTATATCAAGAAATCAAACAGCTTCTACCTGAAATAACAGATGTGAATTTGAGTCAAAAAATCCTTAGAGCTAGAAAATTATATAAATTATTCAATACATTGGGACTAGAGAAAATTAAACAGGTCTCTTATAGTAATTAGGGATGGGAAAATGCAAGGATTTTTAAAATTTCATGCGCAACTTGCACAACTTGCGCAAGTTGTGCATGATCTGCAGTGCAACTTTTTTTTCAAAAAATTTTATGTATTTATTTATTAAAAAAAATTAATTAAATGTTAAAAATATGTATTATCTAATAA